TCAGGCTATGTCTATTACTCCTTTGAACTAATTGCGTGCAGAAAATGCGTGCCATTCCACAATCTAATATGCGGGGCACCCGTAAATCTTTCAGTGGAATAATCGCGCTACCACTTGAGAATATGAGAAACACAGTCTCGAGATATCCAATCAGGACGGCTAACAATTGCTAATCAAATGGTAAACAAGAATGATAAATTGGCTGAGAGGAAAAAAATACCCAAAAATTTATTGCAACAAATATTTTTATACGGCTTTGTACGTACACTTTACATGAAAAAATAATAATATTTTGCTTTTATGAATCGAAACAATTGTTTAACAACAGCTAGAAAAACATTAAGGGATGTCGGGCGTGAAGAGCCAGTTGAAAACAGGTTCCGAAAATAGCCGAGACGGAGAATTAACATTTTCCTTTCAGAGATCAAATCCGACAGTGGAGAAAAGCCTGAAAAAAATACGGCCGACTTACATTTTCTGAATTTTCTCCCATACGACGTACGATCGAACGTCATGCGGTTTACTGTTGTACAGTTATTTAAAAAAAAGAAAAAGATTTATCGAGGTACGTTTGGTCGTGTGCATCTTTATTTTATTTATTTATTTATTTTAAAGGTACTAATAGGGCTTTAAGCCGCCTTACATGTACATATATTAGAATTAAATTAAGTTTTATAAACATAATAGAATAATAATAACAGCAATAATAATAAATAATAAAACATTTAATAAAGTACACAAAACAATAATGACAATAATATATTCATTAAAATGTGTGGTGTTTAGGGACCGGTAGTTAATGATTATTTGGAGAGTGCACTCTCAACACGGCATACAAGAATGATACATCTACAAAGAAAACAGACACTTTGAGCCCTGAAGATGGTCTCAATAAAGATCGAAACGTTGGCTCGATAAAGAAAATGTTTTTCTAAAACCTACGTCACACCAGGCCGCATCTCACGATCTCCAAATAATTCATTAAAATATTAATTATTTATAATCGAATGATGAAACCACATTACGAAAGAAAAGTACAAAGAGAAAAAAAGGAATTCGGAAAAAGAAACGGAAGAGGGAAGAAAAGGAGATGATTCGTGTCGTCTTTAAAAACTCCTATGACATGGACCAGAAACAAGCCAGCCAGGCAGCACAACGTACTTTTTATTGATTTAATTTAATATTTTANTCGGACCATGGACAATATGAACTTTTTTGTTCATTTTAGGGTGAAGAATCTACTGGAGAAGTTTGTAGCACGAGTAGCAATTCACCCTGTATATATATATATATATAATGTTAAAAATCAAGGTTTATAAGGTTGCTGAAGACTTTAATACATTAATTAATATAGAATGAAATATGATGCCTTGGTTTAAGATCATAACAGGATCTAATGCAGGAATGATAAGCAATTTGAAGGCGATGAGCAAATTGAGAGTCGCCGGCGCCACACTAGACGGAATGCGGCGGAATTTTTTGTGACGGAAATTTCGCGACGAAAAATCCCCTCAACTCGAAGAAGCCACATATACAGCGGAAATGACCTCAACGACTGTTTGGATATGCCATAGATAACTTGACTCAGTTGATCGTTTACGGTACAGTGAAACATGTTTTCATTTTGTGTATTTACAGGGCAATGGAGAATCAGAAGAGAAAGAGAGAACATTGGAATATGAAAAGGGAGCACTTGGTCAATTACACTGTCTGTATGGCGAACTTCGACGCTATCATGTCAGTTTCTTCCAATACTGTTTGATGACTATAGAACTTCTACGATAAATTGGTCCTAGTCCATCCTAGATCAGCTTCACTTGCAGTTCGCATGACCGACTGCTTACTACTTCCGTTCTACGCTTGTCGGTCGTCAGTGTGGCGAACCCCATCTACTTTGCACTGTTTTCATCTGTTTAGACGGAACTCAGCGGAACATTCCGTCGACGGACGCTAGTGCACCAACGGCTACATTACGATGGAAATTTCCTTTACGGAATTTCCCTTCAGTCTGTACTGGCTGTGTGTTTTGAATGTAAGCTTGTGCAGCGGAAATTTCCGGCACGAAAACTTCTGTCGCATTCCGTCTAGTGTGACGCCGGTCTAAGTAAAGAAAAAAAATAGGGCTACAATTAGAGAATTATTACGGATTTAATAAGGAGAACTCTAGTGAAAAATCTAAATCATAGAAGAGAATGGAAGCTTGAGTAGATCGTTTTCATAGTACAACTCACATGATTGTGCCACGTAAGCTTGGAGTTAAAAATAGAGAAGAAAGTTTTATTTGAGGACAAAAATTAATAGGGGAGCCATTGATATGAGGAGGGGATAAGCAATCAGTACTAATGGGTTTATTGGAAATTAATAAGGACTGGGATTTGTTAGGGTTTAAAATAATGCCATTATTTCTTGACCATTGGTTGAGAGAATGAAGATCGCGGTTGAACATAGATAGCTTCAGAGATGTTGCTTGTACGACATTGAATGTAAAGCTGAGTGACATCAGGATAAAGATGAAATTGGGAGAAATTAAGAAGTAAAGGAAGATCATTTAGAAATATGGAAAAAGTAAAGGTTCAAGAATAGAGCCTTTGGGTACACCAGCTGAAATTGAGAGAAAAGTGGAGATAGAATTTCAAGCTTTAACTCTCTTGAGTTCTGTCAGACAGGAAGAAATGAGATTAGTAGTAATAAAAGGAAAACCAAAAAGATGCGTCCGTTTCCAAATATGCAAATAATGATTTTCCGAACCAAATGCATTGGAAAAATCAAGTAGAACAATAATAGTACACTTATTATCATCAATGCCTATGGGAATATCATCTGAGATTTTGAGAAGGGCTCTCTCACAACTATGAAAATTTCATAGTTGTGTGACCGCGCTTCCCAAATTCTCTGATGATATTCGACAGAGTGCAGTGTACAGTTGTGAATTTTTAGTTCGGCTTCATATTGTAAATTCTAGCTAAAAGGTGGGACATAGGGAAAGAAGGCGTGTAAAAATAACTCTCAGATACTTGTTCACCACCTCGATTTTATTACCCTTGTAACCATCTTTCATGGGCTGCTTGTTTTCCTCCATTGCGGAATACCGTCATTTTTTATTTTTTTAAAAAATTTACCCATAAGTTCCAAAGGTCGAAAGAGGAATCAACGATTTTTTTATGGCGGACTTCTGACAATAGAGTAATATCAGCCCCCAATGCTCTGTCTGGGCCGAACAAACAAATGCATACATATACACTATAGAACTACAGAATAATTATATTTACTCTTGGGGAAACACCTCTGTTTTCTTTAACAATCGCAACAGGGCACCCAACAACCCACCCTCGGGGCCAATGACAGTCTTTTTGTCGTGGCACTCCTTGAACAAGTGTGACACTGAGCAAGCTTTATCTAGCGGAATGCCTGGATTTGCCCTAAAAGCAAGTGACCGTGTGCTAATAGAATAGGTGGCCTATCCTGCAGATGTAGATGTATTGGTTGTGGTGTAACATACTGTGCCCTTTAAGAGCTATTGTATCCCCCGTTCTCTGCTTAAAGGACACCGGTGAGTCCTATTTCATCAAGAAGGTTTCAGCGGTTGAATTTCTTCTACAGTTACATTGTACATCCTAAAACACCACTTCCTCCTGCGGGCAATGTGGCACCACAGTTTGTTAGTAGGTGTGTTGGTGTCTCCTCTGTCTCTCTGCACATTCTGCATGTGCCGTCTTGGATTATACCAATTTTCATTCAATGTCCATTTAGTTTGCAGTGTCCTGTAAAGAATCTTGTTCGTATTATTTTTTCCAGCTTCCTTTGATACATTCTATCACTTCTTTCCTTCTGAAATTTGTTAGGATGGGAGAAGTGGATTGTTTGTGTCCAATGAGTGAATTCCATTGTTCCCTCATTTTCTTCTTATCCGTCTGCCTGAGGTATTCATTGATAGTGTGGATTCCTATACCACAGAATCCTGTTAGTACGATTCCTTCCTTTAGTTTGACCCTCGTGAAGCTAAATCGCATACAGCTCCGTGGGAGCGGCTACGAAGTGGACGACTCTCCGTTGCACACGGTGCATGGCACACCCTTGCCGATTCTAAACCCGCCGTATAGACGAGGTGAAAACCGGGGAACCCCGATTTAAATTCTAGGAACGCAGCTCGGCAGAGGTTCCCAGCTAGTACCGCTTGATCTTCCCGGTTTAGCTAGAAGGACCCATGGAGTCGTCGTCGGTTTCCCAGCTCGAGTACCATCCCCAGTGTCAAACCCTCTCTAAGGGGTCGCGTCCGAGTTTTTCAGGATCCTGCCCGTCAAAGGGTGGCTCAGGCTTGGCCAAGAAACCCGCCGCATAGCTGAGAGAAAGCCTCTCTCGGGGATTCGTACGGCAGCACTCCCAACTCGCAGCAGAGGCTGGTTCTAAACGCGCCCGACCCAGCTCGAAGTCGTTGACTCAGAGATTCTTATGTTATTTTGTAGACTTGCCGGACACTCAGCAGTAAGGACTGTGATCGCCGTATAATAGTATTTTTATTGTGGCATTAACAACGAGAATTCCTCTCTCTAATAAACCCTATATTATTACCTACGAAAAGACCAATTAACAGAGGACTAAGCACACACCCTTGCCTCACACGAGCCCCTATGTTGAAGTAAAGTAATTCCTGTCATACAGGAAGTCTTAACGTCCAACTACCGTCGTGTATCGCGGACGAGGGGTAAAACCACCTTAGAGTACGTTTTTCTTACTAATCTCACTTAAAAAGCCACGGGTACGCCGAGATTCGAACCCACGACCGCTGCTAGGTTGGCAAATACGAGAGTCGGACGCCCTTACCACTCAGTTGCGGGGTCCCAAAAGTAATTTCAGCCATACAGGATACCCTAACAACCTCTATGGCCTGACAAAAATCAATAAATCATAAACATAATATTTTTGCCAAATCATGATTACTTTTTGCTCTTTAGACAATAAAGTCTTAGATAGTTAATAATATTTTGTATTTTTTTTTACAGGCCTTAAGGACTGTGATAATTGTTACGACCAAAAGATCATTAGGTAAGTTGAACACGATTTAAAAATTGGATTAATTTCGACCACTCACATCAAATATCGCGCTTAAAAGTTCGCGATTTAACTTTAAATTAAAAGTTGAATAAACGAAAGGTTCGAGGTTGGGAGGAAAAAGACAAACCTACAGAACAATCACGAAATATGGCGAATGAGGAGACCAAACCGACGAGAATAGGCGGACCAAACTTCCAGAATATGGTTATTGTATCCACCTTAATTGTAACATAGGTTTCCTCGAATTCCAAGACATTTTTTCACATTTGCCGATGGAAAATGTTTTTAAATGAAATTTGATTCTGAACTTTCTCCCTCCATTGGAATTTGGTAGACTGGGAAATGTTGGCGTTGTGCCTGTCTTTGAAAGAACGCATATTCTTTGCACCTGGTATCGCCTCATACGTAAATAATCTTCAAAATGGTCAACGCTTGATTTTTTGTACGACGGAATTCAAAGTTTGATTTTTCTTTAACTTTTGAGAATTACCTATGTGCTTTAAGTGGCATAAAGTGGACATTCATCTCCATCTTAGACTGAATTTTGATAATTAGGAATGAAATTGATATTAAAATCTTCATAGAAAGGAAAATATCCATTTGTAAAGAGATTTTCTTGAAAAAAGAAAAAGAAAAAAGCCGTTGCCCGTAAAATATTGTCAGATAGGACGAAGTTAAGGATATAAGCAGGATCAACGATAATCTTTTCCAAGACCAATTGTGTACGATTTCTAAGAACTTCGATACACTTATCCATCTTACAATTAGAGTTTTAATTCGACTACAGCCTCTTTGTTTTTCTGGGAGCTTCCCTGTTAAGACTAAGTACGTAAACAGGGCGAGGCACGAAGAACACTATTTCCTTTTGCAAATTGTGCCAGTTCCTTAAGTTCTTAACGTAGATGAAATCGACAATTTTTCTCGTGGAATGACATTTGATGAAACTGCGTTTGATTATAAATGTCCTGGTCTGCCTATGCTGGGCAGACTCATTTTGCCATCCTCTTTAGTTGAACAGTCGTTTCCCCGCCCTTTGTACATTTTGTTTGATCTTTTTGTGGCTAGCTTCAATAATACGCCAGTCGAAGATACGATAAACCGATTTACAGTTAGTTTGGTTTTGGTTTGGCATCTCATCACATTCAGTGTCTGCGCGTCCTTTAGTCCTCGAAAAATCTCACAATAGTATTGTTCAAGTTTGACCCAGAACGTCTCGGTTCGCCTTCTCTCGCCTAATTTGGTCGGAAGCGTATCACCTTCCCCCAATATTCAGTGTTTCAACCTACAAATTTGTGGTTCGTTAAATTCTAATGGATTTGGATTTTTTTTAAATAACGTACGAGCTAAAATGCTGTAGTTTGGTCCATTCATGATTTCCCAGATCAAATAAATGTCAGATGCGTGTCATCATATCTCACTCTACAGTGGATGGGTCTAGACTTTTTGTCGTATTGCTAATCCATTCATCTTGGGTCTGCTCATTCTCGCATGATTCGGTCAGAAACCCCCATATTCAGTGTATGGTTTGGATGTTATTTTTCTTATGTGGGTCCTTTTTTTATGTATATTAAGTTTTCGTTTTTACTCTATTGGATCGTAGGACTTAGTTGATGAAGTGGATCGTAGTTACTAAACTGTTTTCGGCTGTAATAGACTTGATTTCTCCAGTTGTCGTCTCCAGGCGTCGGCCTTGTCACCTAGACGACTCCATTTGATAAGTCGGCGGCGACACGTGATTGATCCTGCACCTGGGAGAAACACCCGTTTTAACAGATTCCCACCAAGTTTTTTTTATCCCCTTTCCCCTCGAACGGCTTTCCTTCCTTGTTCGTGTGAAATGACCTCGCACCCCTCGATTTATGTAATGATCGTTGATAAAATACATAGGCGCCTCTGAATTCTGCTGGGCGATCCTCGTCGAACAGACCGAAAGCACAGTAGGTACAACAATTGGTCAAAAGGACGTAGAAAGGAAGGCTAAATTTAATTACATATGTGAGATCTTTTTCTGACTTCTGCGAATTGGAAGACGATAACTATTTAAATGTGGACTACAAAACAGTCACCCTCCTCTCAGTATTAGGCCATAAGAAGCGGATGCCCTGCCGATATAGCTCCCGAACCCACATTTCATACAGAAGGATGCATTAAAAGTGAAACATGAAAAAATTCTGCAAAGAAACGGAGGAAACACGACTTCTTATGTGTGTTTTTGTAACTATAACATAACTACGGAAGACAGTTGGTCAGATTAAGTCATTTCTCCATGAATTTAGGACTAACCGGCGTACTGTAAGTACTGAACAAGTGTCCCATGCCAACTTCCCTTCTCCATGAGTGATGGAGGATGGTGAGAACATTTGTTGGCATCTGTAAGTTGATGAAACTTGTTGGTTTTCGATAACCCTGGTCTGTTTTTTCTTGGCCTTTCAGGCAACTCGCGTTTTTTGACTGGTAAAATTTGGCTATCCATGAAGGCCTGCCTATCTTTTATTTACGATGGAACTTATGGGACACTGTAATCATTCAGTGAAAAGGCTCCGCAACTCATGTACGTACGTTAAGTTTGGCGGGGCTCAGAGTACTGGTCATTCACGCTAACAAATACATTCACACGAACTAGAAACTTCCATTCTATAAGTGCAAATAAAATTTTAGTGGTTCGGGGTTTTACGCCGGAGTCTCGCCCACATTTGAAAACTGTCTGGCCACTCACTCTTTCTTAATTGCTCTCTCGCTCGCTCACTCATTTTCTCTCTCTCTCTCTCCCTCTCNCTCATTCTCTCATTTATTTACTCACTCTCTCTCTCTCTCTCTCTCTCTCTCTTTCTCGGCCACTCACTCTTTCTTAATTACTTACTCTCTCTCTCTCTCTCTCTCTCTCATTAACACACTCATTCACCCACTCTCTCACTCTCAATCACTTTCTTTCTCACTCACTTCTTCTCTCTTTCTCACTCGTACACTCACTCACTCCTTCCCTTATTTATTCACTCATTTTCTCATTTATTTACTCACTCACCCACGCCCTCCCTCACTCTCTCTCTCTCTATCTATCTATCTAATCTAACTATCTATCTATCTATCTCAATCTCTCTCATTCATTCATTTATTCACTCACTCAATTACTCTAGCTTTCTCACTTGTGACCCTAGTGCACTATTTAGGAACTGAGACTATACTCGACAATTATTCTGGATCAAATGACATGAAAATTTAACTAACAATTTGTTCTATCACTAAATGATTTTGCGGTGTTTGGTTAATTTTCTTTTCATATCATCATTTTCAAATAATTTTTTTGAAACTCATGAATTTCTGATCGTGTTTAATTTTTGTTTACATTAAAATAAGTATAAGTAATTTCTAAACTACCTCATTCTTGACCGCTCCACACGATTTCAACAAATTATTAAAATAAGTTTGGTGTAATTAACATAATGATAAAATTACATACAGTTTGAAGTAAACAACAAAAGACGAGTGTCTTTGGGTGTTGTTGTTGTTTAATGCAATGTAGGGGTGTTACGTCGTGGTTAGGTAATAACATTTAAACAGGAAGTTAAAAGAAAAACCCTTTGCCCAGCGATGTAAGAAATTTCCATTTAGTTGAGATATCTGTTAGATGATCGTCTGTAATAATTTTTTTCTCATTTTTGTGACGCAGGTTAGCCGGTCGGGTCCGGCCTATTTCGTGTGATCAATACACGGCAATAATATTTTCACTCGGCAGAAGTGTAATATTCTTCTCGTCTACCCGTTCCAAAACGGATTACGTATAAAATTCGTCAAACCCTGAAATCATACTGTGAAAACGTATCGGCCTCCTTTGCCCTCCCTCGGATTGCATAACTCCGGTCTATTATGAAAAAAAATCCCAGATGCTTATTATATTCTTATGCTCATTATACCTCGCGATGTAAGCCGTGGAGGGGAAAATGTAAGATCCGTTTCGCTTGAGAGAGGGGTTCACCATTCACAGCCCACCTTTTACGTGCATGGCCGTTTGGGGAGAAGGTGGAGTCCTTTTCCCGTTGTAATTTTTTAGAGTGGGGAATGAAAAAAAAAAAAATCCTTCTCACTACAATGGAGAAACCATCCTCCTACCAGGAAGGGTACGCGTCCGCTACGACTTACCTGAACCGATGGAGGCATAATTTCGAAAAGGAAAGCAATGGGCGTTATTTACCCTTTCTTTCTTAGCAGCCTTAAAACGTTATTTTTAAAAAAAATTCTTATTTTTTTTAATGCTTAATAAACATATATGGCATATTTGTTCTAGAAAATATTCTAGAAAAAATAATTAAAAATTGATTATTGGACTTATTTATTGAAAATAGAAGAATTTCTCCAAAAGAGTATGGTTTTCTTCTTGGCAGATACACTGAGCAGGCTTTGTTTGATGTTACTAATTGGATTTCAAAAGAAATTTATAAAGGTAATTACATTATTGGATTGTTTCTGGACATTAAAAAGGCTTTCGACTCTTCACCATAAGTTGATGCTGAAAAAACTTGAGTGTATTGGTATCTCTAATATTCCCCTTCCTCATTGAGTCATATATATACATATTTATCGGACAGAACTCTAGTCATAAGGTTGGTACAATTTATAGTTCTAATTTACGCGTTGAATCGTGAGTACCGCAAGGTGCAGTCTTAAGCGAGGAACACACCCGATGCAACGCTATGCGACGCTACCGGATGCTACCCGCGACGCCTTGGCACGTTTTGTTATGGTGTGCACATCTATGCGACGTCAAGCGCACGCCACGTACAATCACACATCCCTTATCACAAATCATTATCACAATCGCCTCTTTTGTTCTAAATGCATTATTTTCAGCAAAACCATGTAATAAATTGTTAGTTAAATTTTATGAGCACAACCGTTTAATAAATTATTTGTTAAACTTAATTGTTTTAAATAAAGTTATTCCGGTGTTTCCATAATTTTCTTCCTAACCATCATAATTAAATAATTTTTATAAA